TTGATCTGTTCTACCTGTACACGGCGGTTGCTCAATCAGTTACCACACGCGCGCGCACGCACGCACGCACGCATGCACACACACATACACAGTCTCTCTCTCTCCTCCGGACAATTTGTGGGGACGTAGAACAGGTTGAGGTAAACATAATAGTCCTATACCGTTTTGCGATATTCACAATAATTATCGAGATATTAATTGTAGAAAACTTGTAAATAATCATGCAGAATGTGGTAAATGAGTTATAGTAGCGACGACTGCCGTCGTGTACTTATAGGGTGCTTTCCAGTTGCGTACACTGCATTACACAAAACCAGCTTATTGGTTGCATATTATCTTACAAGATATTTTAGATAATATTTGATCAATAAACTGGTTTTGTGTACGTGTGTGTCAAGATGTGTTAAGCAATTGGAAAGTACCCATTCTTTAGGTCAAATTGAACACAAAACTCCTCTACCATTTTCCAAATAATCACATAGATTTTTAATTATTAACTAAAGAAGATTATTGCACGATTTTGCGTGACAATGCATTTATCTTCTTTAATTAATAATTAAAAATCTATGTAATTATTTGCAAAATGGTAGAGAAATTTTTTGTTCAATTTGACCTAAAGTATAACGGTATAGGACTTTTATGTTCACCTCAACCTGTTCTACGTTCTCACAAAATGCCCGGAGGAGAGTGAGACACTCTGATATATTAGATGTACAACTTTGCTTCCGCCGTTTTCCTATAGATGGCTTTAGCGATAAGTGGTGGTCGAAATAAATAGATCATAGACGTCATACAATAAACTTGGGCATCTGTCAACATAACCCCATAGAAACATTAGTCGATTTGTGTCTGCATCATAAAGTTATTCTCGATTGAAAATGTCAGTTTACGAGTCAAATTCTCGTCATTTGCGGGAGGTTTTAATTTTCTGCTTCAATATGAAGAAATCTACGACTGAGGCTCATCGAATACTCTCAAATATTTATGGTGAGGCCGCTATTAGTGAAAGAACGTGTCGTGAGTGGTTTCAACGCTTCAAGAACGGTGATTTTGACGTCGAAGACCGGCATTGCGGTGGAAGAGAGAAGGTTTTCGAAGATACAAAATTAAAGGTATTACTTGATCAAGACTCGTGTCAAAATCAAGAAGTATTGGGACGATCATTGGGAGTGACTCAATAAGCCATTTCAAAATGCCTCAAAGCCATGGGAATGATTCAGAAGCAAGGAAATTGGGTGCCGTACGAATTGAAGCCGAGAGATGTTGAACGGCGTTTGTTTGCTTGTGAACAGCTGCTTGAAAGGCAAAGACGGAAGGGATTTCTGCATCGCATTGTGACTGGGGACGAAAAATG